AATGTTAAAACTCATACAAGCATTTATTTCTTTTATTATAGATGTAAATCAATGACCAGTTCCTAAAGTATTGAAAGATAAAAGTCAAGGAAAAAATTCTCAGTTCATAGTGCCAAAGTATTTTGTTAATAATGATAAAATTCAATTAAAAAAGATTACTCATGTTATTATGTAGAATTGATGCTAAAATTCTATATTAGAAACAAGTATCGATTAATTGTGTTAGGTAGAATTAAAGAATAAACAGTCGGGCGGAAATTTATTAAATGCATAAAACATAACAAAAGCCAGCGGCTGTATTTATTCATCCATTTCAAAAATTGTGGCTTTTCTATCCAACTGTCTTCAAATCTGTGAATTCAGAAAAAACTCTAAAATTGTAATTTTTTCGAGAGAAGCATTTCCATCCTCAGAAAAATAAATGTTAAAAAAGAATTGAAATACAAAATTTGTGCATTTTATGCAGAAAGTGAAAAGAAAATCATTATTTCATTATAATTTTAATCATAAAAACAGATCTGCTTAATATTATTTTTTGTAACAATAACAATAGAATAAAAAATATTTCTTTATTTTAAGTATGTCCAGTGATATTAAAAATAGTTTTAAATTTTGATTTTGACTTGCAGATGCCCCAGAGGAGCTTGCATGAGATCTAAAATTTCTCTGAAACATAGTTTGAAAACCTTCAAACTACTTGCAAAACTTCAAATTATGTGAAAAAAGAAATGTAGATGTAAACAGCAGTGATTAAAACGTTTTAATGACCAAAATATTTTCATTCCATCAGATTATTTGTTTATTTTGAAGAAGACACTGTAGACACATCAGGATTTTTTTTTTTTTTTTTTTTTTTTTTTTTTGGAAGCTGAGAGACGTGAAAAACGAGCAATGACCTCCCCGGGACTCGAACCATGGACCTCTCGAATATGTGCCAAGTGTGCTGATCATGCATACATGCTACGAAGGCAAGAGAAATACCTTATAACACAATCCGATAATAAGATCACAAATAGAAGATAAGAATTTTTTTTCTTCTGGAAAATTAAAAAAAAAAATTCATATTGCATATATACAAGCCTATACCATAAATTGTAACATATATAAAATTCTTGGATTATCTAATGGAAAAAAAAATAATAAATGTAAATATAATTTCATTTCAATAAATGAATGGATAAAAAATGGCCTTAAACAACCTCATAGAGAAATTAATGCCAACAAAAACATTATTATTGAAACAAATGTAATAAACACAAATTGCCTAATGTATTTAATTTGAATATCTGTTTTGGAACGAAAGGTGTAAACAGCCTTAATGTGCTTAATAACTCAGATTTGTAATGCATATATTTTTATTTCCAATGGTAGAACAAAATATATATATATGTACACACTATCAAATACACATACACAAAAATATATCACACACTAAATAACAAACAGAGAATAAGGAAGCCTATTTAGTGCTTGAACATACTATTTAGTGCCTTCCAGTAACAGCCACAGAGATCCTGTACAAAGAGAGCTATGCATTTCGCAGGTGGTGGAGGTTGTATCTTGGGCCTTTATTACAAAGGATGATCACAGAATTTTCAAATAGAAAGGTTTCGCTGAATAATGACCGGGTAAAAGATAAGTTATTATGATGGAATTAGCCTTTTTGGGTATCGGAACATGAAAATGGACATGTAGTTGAAAGAACGAAAGCTTGCTTTAAATTACAGAGATTTCTAATACATTAATTTAATATATTTTAAAAAAATTTTTAATAATATAATACTTTTCTAATATATTTATTTTATTATCCAAAATTATTTTCTAATTAACAGAAAGGTACGGCATAAGTTTCAGTGATCAATTGTCAGAAAGGCTTCTTCTGGATGGCTTAATAATAATACAAGGAAATAAGCTTATTTTACACATGCCTTATGGCATAAGAAAAGGAACTTCTGAAGTATATTAAAAACTAAAAAGATGTACATATACCATAGAAATGATTTTTAACTCTAAACAAAATTACTGGTTATCATTTCGGAAACAAAATTCAATACTTGCCCATAGTAAGACCAACTTGTGAAAGATTTTTTGCCAAACTGCAAATCATTGTGTAAGGAGGAAAATTTCCAAAAGCCATTTTGAAATTTTTAATAATATGACTAATAATCATAAGATACTACTTTTTGATCAGTAACATGGGTTGTTTGAACTAACTAAGAAAAAACTTTAAATTGCATCAGTATTAAAACGAGCTAATTAAATTTTAAATCACAAAATACAGTGAACCGTCTGTAAGACAGCCAGACACAGCTGCTATAAAAATTTTTTCTATGGAAGTGGTTGTCTTAGGGAGAGGATAATTGATGCCAATGTTATTTATGTTGTTAAATTACCACTTTTGTCGTCCTGGTACTGTTCTCTGTCTATACATTTTGAATCTGAAATAAGGCATTCAGCACGGCATGCACACTGGGTGTAAGGAAAGAGAAGAAACTGGAGAGTTTGGTTAAATGATAAAAACCAAATCCTTAATACCACTATTGACAGAAAGAGACCAAAATGCAAATAAGAAGCAAATTTCCTTAAAAGCTAACAATGAAGAGGGATTAAAATTAGAATCAATGGTTAAAACCATGGGATTTTTATTGATATAAAACATCAAATGCCAAGTGGTGTCTCCCCCCCCCAGTATAATTTTTCGATGTGGAGAAATGGAAAACATGATTTTTTTTTTTAACTAGCAATCGTAGGCAATGCAGAATTTATGAATTTCTTTTCTTTGAACATAATTTTGTGTTTTTCAGTACAAAATTTAGGACACGCATCTCTGCTGTTTGGAGGAAACTTAAAAAGAACTCTGTGAACATAATTAAAAAAAAAAAAAAATACAGGGTCACTAAAATAAATAAAATTTCAGATTCTTTTCTTGTGTTCTAACATATGTAATTATTACTTCAGTAGATTCTAATATTTATTTTATAATCATGCATTATTACTACTTAGGCAACAATACAGACATATATAAATTTTCACTATTTTTTTACTGTCATTACATGCACAATTGCTGTTTTTTATTAACAAGAGAACTGAACAAAGCATATCAATACTTTTGTATCAGCAATATGAGTAAGTTTCTGTTTATTAAGACTTTTAAAGTTCTCACGATGAATTAATTCGAATAATGGAAATAATTGACTGTAGCATAGAGATTTATTCGTATTGCGTCCACTCTCGTATACAGCAAGAAAAAAAAAAAAAATTAAATATGAAGAGCCCTTATCCAATTCCCATAAAACGTAAACAAAGTCTCGAACTGATCTACCCGTACGATCGGGCTCTCAAACAAAAACGCTAAACGACGACGTTGCGCAAGCATTGCGCGAATGCACAATGTGCATGCAACAGCGCATTTTCTCGACGTGTTGGGATTGTATGGTGAGTATACAAGTTTTCTATTGTTCCAAATTTTAAGTTGAAATTCAAATAAAATTAAATTCTAATGCTTTTCCACTTAAATGAAAGTATTTTTTAAATTTAATTGTCTTTTTGATTAATTTTAATCATTATTTTTTTCTTGCACAGACCGCAATTATAGGCATAATTCGTTTTCTGCTGAATGTATAGGTAAGAATTATTTTTGATTTGTAAATATTAATTAACTTTGAATACAAAATTATTTATGAAATTGAATAAGTTTATTGGTTTGTGTGTGCAGTTAAAAGGAAGAAAAAAAAATCGTGTCGTTTATGTACTTATTCACCCATTTTCTTTAAATACTGCGAATGTAATATTCTTGTATTTCTGTGTTCTTTGAACAATATACTCATTTTTTCATGTTCTCTTTGATATCGTATTAATAGTAATGTTAAATATCGGCTGAGCAAATATTTTGGTTATCTGCGCTCAAATTTCCAGACGTTATTGGAAATCAGCTTTATAATGCATCTAGTTGAACATGCTTAGCCAGAAACATTAACATATTAACTTCAGCCGAGCTAGAGCGTGTAATATAATACCAAAAGCCTAACATTCTATGTACTATTGAAGCAATTCTAGTATTATTCTGTTATTTGTAGCGAAATTAAAATTGCAGCAAGAAGCAGTAGCTTTTGCTGTGATGGTTGTTTGTTATTCAGCCAGTTAATGTTCTTTGCCTGTATGCAGCGTGGTGTGGGTGTGATGTGGCTATTCTCATTCTTGATTGTAAGGTCAATTAAAATTTATAATCCATTATTTGCTTAAATTGAATAGTTTTCAATTGTAATTATTTATGTTAATTCATTTTTTTAAAGCAAACTGTAAATGCGATCTTTTTCCCTGAATTCTGCATGTATAGGTTAGTAAAAACATATTTGTAATTATTTAATTTCGGTACAAAATGTGTATTAAATGTATATAATTTGTGTGTATTATTAAATTTCAAAATGTAGTTGCAGATTAAATAATTACATGGTTCTGCTCGATTCAGGATAAGAAATGAATATGGTGTGTTCAAAGGTATTCTTTCAATGCTGTGCGCATAACTCTGTTTTTCTTATTCAAACGTATTGTATGGTGTGGCAGTGATATTGATGTGCCTTTGTTTGTTGTTGTTGCTTATGTACTTATTTACACAAATTTTCTTTTACATCTGTGAACAAATTTACAATTTGTTGTTGTTATTGGATGAGCATTGGTGCTAAATGTCTAGCTGAACACAAATTATATTTTTCTTAATATCAGCAATTATTTCAGTTATGTGTTCATTTGGCAGCATTTACTGCAAACCAGTTTTAATGTTGCTTCTGCTTAACCAGAAACATTAACATCGAAGTTGAGCCAAAGTATGTTTTTGCCAAGAAGCTAATGTGTGCTATTTTTTTTATGAGATTCTGGCCATGTCTAACCATATGCTTTTGCAGTGCCTTTCTTATTTTTTTTGTTGCCTGGTCCATATGATTTGTTTTTAGGATTACAGTATTTTTAAATTGTTAAACTTGTACTCATCTTCAAACATTGTCTTTCACAACAGCAATATGGTAAAACTAGATATTACGGTCCAGATTGGCGAGTTTTAAAAAAATTGCAAGTCGCCAAATCGATTGTTTTCATGTGTTTTAGAAAATCGCTAACTCATCATATCGCCGGTTACAAATTTGAATTAATTCTGTAAACATGCAAAAATATCTAGAACAGGACTTCAAGAAAAACAATGAAAAATCACCGACTGCTTGGTGCGTTTTTAAGAATTACACATCCTCGGTATCCATGTACACATCGACCAATTTTTTACTTGAAGAAACATCTTAGAATTGCACAACTGCAGAGTCGTAGGCAAGAAGTTGAGTATGCAGCTGAAATCATAGAATGAATGTCAGTTTGTGTTTGCTTCACTGTGTTTCACAGTTCTTGTGTTAATTTGGCATTAAGGTAAAAATTACAAGAAGAAAGGTTCAATGTAACCTTTGTATGTATTTATAGGATTTTGTCTTTGTAAGTAAGACAATGATTACCACATCAACAAATACATTTAAACTATAGGAAAGCTCTATTAATTTATTGAAAAAGTGGAAAATGAGGGAAATATTTTTAATAAATTTCAGCACTGTAAAGTGGGGGGGGAATATAGTAATCCATCATTGGCAGGTCTTCGATAAAGCAACATGCATCATAATAATCATCTTTATGACTAAAGGTAAGAATCAGCCACAGTGCAAAAAAAAAAAAAAAAAAAAAATCCCTATTCTGTTTTGACATTCAAAGTTAAAATATGCATCAGATGATTGTATAGTTCATTAATGCCATATATTTTGTTAATTTCACAAAACTGGATCAAATTATTTCGTAACAGTAGTATATAAATTTCATAAAGTTGCCAGCTGGAATGTCCTTGGAGCAGGATTTTTAATTTTCTTTTCTGTTTCAAGGGCAAACTTGCTAGCAAATTCCAATCTGTGTAATTATGTCGTATATTAACCCATTAAATGCTGTGGTGCTCATTGGTTATCATAAACAGTCAAAAGTCTTTAATTTGGACTCTTCGGCGATTTCGGATTTATCGTTTTTTTTGTATTATAGCTCATCAGTTTAAAATCTTTTAAGATGGCATGCAGAAATTATAAAATTAAAAATATGAAATAAAAAAGAGCAATTATGATCTAAAGGGTATCAAAATTTACAAAAAAAGTTTAATATTTATTTGTTTACTTTAATAAACTTTTCTTTCAACGTGCGCATGTGTAAAGCATACATTACGCATAGTTGAAATTAGAAAATTGCAACCAGAAAACTATTTCATGTGTATTCGTGATATTTATAATGATGAATTTGATTTAAATCATATCAAAGACGGAGTACATCGAGATGAAATACTGCATTTAGTGAGGAATTATAAGCCAAATAAAATGAAAACATCTGCCCTGAAGATGAGGATAGTGCTGACAGATCAACTTCCAGTTCATTGTGCGCTGCAACGTACCCCCCCTCTCCGCAGAGCAGCGCGAAAATTATAAACAGATTTCGGAATGGTTAGAGAAACAAATCACCTCTCTGTCACTTTCTTCATGCCTTTAACCATTTTTTGCAGCAATTCCACTTTTTGTTTCATGGACATCAAAACGTGCTTTCGCTTGTAAATCCTTTGATATCTCCAGAATCGGAAACTCGTTTTGACATAATCGAAAGTTCAAGCTTACTTTTTATAAAATTGCTCTAACAGTCTGCAAAAAATAATAAGCCGGATCCAATTAAGAAGATTAAGGAACAACGCGATCTGCAACATTAACTGAAATAGATAATTTTAGCTTAGCTTATACCGTCATTATACATTAAACGCATATGCGCATGCGTTTAAGCATGTGCAGAGAAAGTTTGTAGCTTTGAGGTCCGGATTATAGATCATTCCAGATTAAAGACTTTTGACTGTACTTTAAGCCACCTAGTAACACAATCTAGCTATCTCGGAGGGAAAAAAAGGCAACATTCAACTCATCCACTGAATGTCATTTGTAGAAAACCTAAAGTGATCACTACCTATACGCTCTTATGCTGAGCTCATGTTCATTTCCACATTCCACTCTCCTCTTATCACAAAAGCGAAACGTGTTTTGAAAACGGATTAGACATAGTGGATTGAGGCTAATTTTGGTCATTGTGATTTTACTATATTATTAGTGAGTGTTGATTAAAGCGGTTATTTACTTCTAGCAACAGTCCCTGCTAGACGGGACTTTCCTGAGAAACAAATTTTTGGTAGCACTGGTTTAAATGGGAGGATTCTTAGAAAAAAAAAAGAATCCCCACCTAGCTACAGAAACAATGTAGCGGCTATGTGATATTTCTTCAAACCTCGCCAAAAATGTTCAGCTGAAACTCTGTCCGGGTTAGAAATGAACCAATCAGATGAAAGTTCTGCTTCTGAAGGATCACGTGGTCCCCAATCTGAGTTTACGATAACCTAGGGTTTCCTGGAAATGTGCGGGTTCTGAGAATTGCCCCTTTCGTCATCCAAGATAATGTAATTTTAAAAATTAGATAATTTTTTTTTTTTTTTTTTTTTCAGTATTTCATAGAATGGACCGCATTTGGAGATTACAGTTGATACTGAGTAGAATTTCAACAAGCATTTTATGATTGCATTGTACAAGAAAAGGCTTGAGAAAAGCTTTGAAAGAATTTAAAAAGATAAATGGGATTCCCAGAACCTCTGTAATTCTGCCTTTGAAGATGATGGCAATGATTTTATATACGTGGAGCTTCCTCCACAGCAGGTTGATGGAGTTTCTGATGATGGACTAGAGGCAGAATGAGGCATTGCTAGAGTGACAAGTGTTATTTAGATTCTGTGCTTAGCAATGAATCATTACGGGCATTTCAATAGAGATTAAAAATTGTCTTCAGTAGTCGTTTTCTTCAGTAACATACGAGAGGATGCTGAGCAGGCACTGGAAGCTGTAGACACACTAATGTTTGTGAAAAATGCAACACCATGAAGGAATTGTCGGAAATGAATGAAATTTATCCGCATATTACCATAGTGATACAAGTAACGATCACATTACAAACAAAAAAAAAAAAAAGAAAAAGTTGGAAATCAGTACTTTGGGTTCTGTCATGCCGAGCGAGAGCCTGTACACATCGTGGCATTGAATCGTATAGGTTCTGATGTAATCCTGGGGAATGCTTTGACTTGATGTGAAAGTTCAGTTTCAGTGTGTGCCCCACTAGCTGTACGTGCGAGTCGCTGACCGATGAAATCCTAGGCATGCTGATTGAGCAACATATCTGGGGAAGATGCAAAACCTGTTGTACCTTAAAGAAGCTTGTGCACAGGCATTTTCCCCTAAAATATATGCCTGGATGCATCGAATAATGGATACTCTGTCATCATTATACTCCAGATTGTAGCAAGATTTGTTGGAGAAAGCAACTTGTTGCTACACAGAGCACGCCACGCACTGAGTTGCAGTGCTCACTGAAGTCGGAGGCATATGTTACTCAGCGACAGGGCAATCCTGCATAGAGGAACCCTTGCATGCAGTTCATGTTGCAGCAGACAGCGACGAACACTTGTGCTGTTGTGTGCCCCATTGCCAGGATTTCACCTTGTTTGGTTCTTGCTGTCCATTTCTTCCAAACATGCATCACTGTTGTGGCATTGTGCTGCGTGCGGGCTGTGATTGTTTGATATGA